TTTCTAGCAGGCCTTCTGCCTGCTAGATTATTCTTCACAACTATAATGAGTACAGTATATAACACCTATCCCCATAGTTTCTTCATGTTCCTGGGAGGAGGACTAACTTACCTTTCACTGGTCTTCTTTCAAACACTCTGAAGTTTGTTTGCTTTTCTTAGTATCATTCCTATTAAAAACAGAATAGGAAAAGAACTAGGCCTTCCAACATCTTCCCTTATTCCAGTCAACATCTCTACGTAATTTTCTCCAAGCCTACTCCAGCTGCTTCTCATCTGTGTGCATATAATTATTTATACTATCACAGAACCTAGCCTAATCAAGAGTGATGACCCTAAAATGCTGGGCACCAGACAAGCACAATAAAATACCAGATCTTTGATTAAGCAGTTGAAGTACAAGATTAGATGTTGTACAGCATGTAGTGGAGGAGGAAAACAAGTATGACAGTACTAAACAGCGTATGATCAGCCTCAAACGTCAGGCATCTACAAAGCTACCAGAACTTAGTCACAATAGCAGTAGCAAAAGCAACAACTACATCTGTCGTTTTGTCGCATAGCTAGAATTTTATAAACCCTCGAGGGAAACAAAACAAAAATCTCACCTCTCTCTCCCCCCCCCCCCCCCCCCCCAGAAACGTTCATACCTCTCCACTTCTGAAGTACTCCTTAACAGGATGACTTCCCTCTTGTCCTCTCCTCCATAGCAGAAACTCTCTCCCTCAGTGCATACATTTACAAGACCCTGGCACACAACATATAGTGCTGCTTAGGAATTTATTAAACTGCAGCGAGAGTTTTGTCTCATTTTCAGTCTCACACTGACAGTACTAACCCATATGTCAAATAAATTTCCCCCATGCACATGGCACGATGCACAAAGTTGCTGTACCGAAAGCCGCACAGCATTATTTATGATAGTTGTACTTCTCATATGCATCAGTTGTTTTCTTGTCTGTTTTATACTAAAATATGTACTAATTCAATTTTAATTGGTTCTTTTATAGCACAAAAAAGCATTAACTACATCAGTGTGTAGGTTTGAGACAAAAACTACCATGTTTCAGTTGATTTTGGCTTTAAGCCATGAAGCAGACACTGTAGTCTAACAGCAAACCATAAATCATATCTACTAATGGTACTGAAAGCACCAAAAAGAACAAAATTTTTAGGTAAAGTTTTAGGTTACAAGTTAACTACTACTGTAAGGAAAAGATACTGACATAAAATTTATCTGAATGAAGTTGAATAAATAAATGCAGCCTGTTGCGACAGAGAGGTTGAAAACCTATTTGACAGGCTTGCTGAGAACTTAAACAGAAGTAAAATACTTAATTTTTGTAGAGGACACATGAAATGGTTCTATTTTGCAATTCACCTGCTGTTATGGATAAAAAAAGCCTGGCACAGTAATAATCAATTCCAATGCCCGACATAACAGAGGCTGTGGATTTCTTTAAATTAATTCTCACACCTACTGGATCTTGTCTTTTTACAAAAAGATCTTACCTACTGTAACTTGCCCAAATTGTTTCAATAGTTAATTATCGTGTCAGAAATAATGTGTATTTTTTGTCTACATCTACTTTCAAGTTCCAGATATTCAAGCTCACTAAACACCTTTATCTGCTAGACTCTCTACTATCGCGTCTTCTTGCTATATAGCTTAAGATCACGCATATCATTATCTAAGCTCCTTCCGGTATTTCACAGTATTTTGTTTAAATCATATTTAACGATCCCTTCATTGCTATTGCATTATCATCTCCTACTGAACATCTTTCTTCAAATGTGGATGTCCAAACTTGATGCAGCACTGCAACAGAAGGCCAGATCCTATCTTCTGCTCAAAGCCACATGGTCCCTTTTGCCATAACTTTGCAAATCAGCTTTTTTTTTTTTCTTAAAAAAAAAAAAAAAAGAAAAAAAAGAAAGAAAAAAAAAAAAGGGAACTTAATATATTTTAGGGTAGAGTCTATATTCTTTTTTGCCCAAAGTAGCCTCACATTAGACCACTGGTTCCCTACCAGGTGAGGCAGGTATTGCTGGGAGGGTACAGACTCATAATTGGTCAGGCAGAGAGACAAACTGAACTAACTTGGCTAAGCCTAAGTTGGCTCCCTACAAGGCCAGACAGGACAGTGCTGCACCTCCAGAACAGAGTGCAACATGGAGCAGAATGCAAAAGTTACCCAACTGGCTCTTGGCTTGGCCGGATGAGTCTGCACAGGGAAGGTGATGGCAATCCCCTGAGGTACTCATCTCTACATGGGAGAAGGGCTAGACCAAGCAAAGCTTGGGACATTGTCGGCTTTTCCAAGCGAAGCTTAGCTATTAAAGGACCAGGGATCACTATTATATAGTGTTAGAATCAATAGCATTTGTTTCTAGCTAGTATATCATGAAATCCAAATATGTTTATATAAGTTACCTTCCATCTCACACTCTGCAGATATGATGGCTAACTTTCCATTTACGGCTATATTTTGAGATAAATTACTTCATTTCAGAATCCATTTATCATGTGCTATCTTCATTTCCCAGTTCCAATTTCTTAAATAAAATGTGTTGCAGCTCAATGCCTTACAGAACTCTAAACCTTTTACTCCACTAGTAGTATTTTCATTAAACAGCTGATAATCTCATGTTGAGCACCTACTTTGCAACCTCTAGTTTCTACATCTTTACAACAATTGCAATTAATCATTCTTACTCTTTTCATTAAGATTTTTCTTTATGAAGTCCTGCTCCATCATTTGACTCAGATTAACGTCATGCTGACACACCCATATTTGAATGAACCATTCACTTCTTTGGGTTGTTAATATTGGTAGTTTTCTCCAAATCCTCTGGAGCGCCCTCAGTGCCCTGAGAATTCTAGAAGATGCAACACTGGTAGCCAAATAAAGTCCTTAGCCAACTTTTTAAATTCTGCAGCTCAAAGCATCCCGACTTGCTAATTTTAAAATGTCTAGATTTAGCAGCTCCTGTTTCACATCTGCCTTATTTGCTACAAGAAGGGGAGCAAGTCATTACAAACTATATCTAGTACAAATACAGAACAAAAATGTTTGCCCAAAATGCCTGCTTTTTCAGAATTGCTAGTGAATTTTTATCATTGAACTAAGAGGTCACTAACAGCTGCATGTATATTCTCAACTTACCTGCAGATTAGTCATTGGCCTCCCATCTCCTGGCCTGAGATTTTGTGTCTTTATATTCTTTGGCTTTCTTTAGCCATTTCCTGCAGTTCCTACTTTTCTTTTATGCTAGCTAACATCACCTTGCTCCTTTTTCTCTTTTGGACATGCACGCACACAAAGGTATGCTAATGTTTTATATCTATTTATCTGCATACACACACAGATACCTGCTTTCACTTTCCTCCTAAGCAGTTTTGAAAGTATGAACTTTTTTCTTGATCATGGCTTTCACCAACACCTATTAAAGTGTTCTTTAACATCATCTTATTCTCACTGACATGGAAAGAGAGAGCTTTACAGCAGTAATATCATGGAGTAACATCTGAATAAGTGATCATCGCTACAAAGGTTTACAAAAGTATTGTTTCTGGGAGAAACTTGACTGTTCACTAAATAATTAAGTTTATAGCCTTAATATTATATTTAATTTTTGCAGTTGAAAGAACTCTTTAGTCACAATCAAAATGACGAACATTTTATCTCTCAAAGGTAACAGAGGGCACATTTCTCAACTCAAAAATAGTTACAATTTCTCCCTGTGATCTTGATCACTCAGTCTAGTCCCTCATGATAGCTTGAGGTGTTTTCTGCTGTTGTTTTTCTTTTTTTTAAGTCATACATCTGTCTCAAAACTCTTATCATGCTAATTAAGGCTTACTGAATGCAGCAAAAGAATCAACACCTTCAATTTTTCTAGGCTTTTTCACTAAATGTATTTTTCACTGCATTATCTGAACTGACCAAATGTTGCTTTAAAGTAAAGATTTCAGAACTGAAGAGCACAGTAGAACAGAAAATTTCTGCAGATATTTGCAGATTTTTTTGTGCAAGCATCTTTCTAAATCTTTCTGAAGCTGTCTGCTGCATATTATATTAGAAAGCTTTCAAGAAATCTGTTCCTAGGAACTACAAAGTTGAATACCACTTATATCAAGGTTTGAAGATCTCTGGTTCCAGATATGCACAGTTAAATAGTTGTATTAAGTTGCTGTCTTTACCTACAGTAGAAATGGAAGGCTCCAGTGAGAGAACCCACAGCAAAATTAGCAAACTTGAAAGGAAGTTCATAATAATTACACTGCAACCGTTATTGCATTTAAAACTTTGGTGACATTCATCCTGCATATTCCAAGTACTTGGCACAATATGCCAAAACTTTGTCATGCATAGTTTTTTGTTTTTTTTTTTTAATATATAGATCATACTGTAGAATGGCCAGTTGCTGTACCCCATAGACTTCATTTTTCCCCAGTGGAAAAATTAAGTCAAATCAAGTTTTATGAGCACCTTCATAAAGCCAAAAATTCACTGGCAAATTAAAATTAATTCTGCTATAAATATATTTGTTCCATTTATGCAATGCAGAATGAGTGCACAGCTCTTGTTATTGCAGTTAAACCTCTCCTCTTTCCTCTTTTCTTAAAGACTACCTAAACTGTCAGGAACTATATTTTACATTTTAGCAGTTCACTGTGTACACATGACTCCTAGAATTTAAAATGGAATTGTTGATAGTTCAGATACTGTTAGACCATCATTAGTTCTGCAAAGTACGTAATTTGTCATTTTGAAAGAAATTACAGTATCTTCACTTGTGCAACATGCTTTTAAAACTTCCTTTCTTTAATTTGAAAATGTCAGTATTATACTCTGCTTCAGAAAGATATTTTTAAGGCTTGCAGGCTGGCTTGTCACAGAGCAATTTGTCAGGTAGTATTTTGTCTTCATTAAGGTTTATTCATGTAAAGTAATTGGCCTGTCCGTGTTATTCCCCGAAGACAATACATTCTCTTACCTGATGGTAATGAGGACTGTGTTAGATTTTCACTTTCCTCATCAGTGCTGCCATCATACTCCTCCTCTCTCTCTGTTGCTGCCTGAACTGTAGCAATGCTATCTCTAGAGAGGAAAAGGAGGAGGAAAAAAACAAAACAAAACAAAACTTTTCCATCTACTATTCCTGCAACAAATTTATGATTATTTCTGCACTGTCTTAGAGACAACGAGCACAAGTGAATAAAGTGTCCCTATGCTGAAGGATACAAAGACAGACAGTAATAGATAAATTAAGCTGAGGGTACAAAAAATAGGGTAAAAATAGCAGTCAAATTAAGGTGTATCATATCATTAGAATGATACATTCTTTGTCTTTAGAATGATACATCTTTGGATATTTTTGCATTCAAAAATATCCAAATACAGATATCTAAATTATGAGTACATAAATTTAGATTTAGATATTTATATTTCCTAAAGGACAAAAGGAATCAAAGAATTTGGGGAGAGAGTATTTAAGTGCCACCTATGGAAATGGCAGAGGTCAACTGTGTTGGGAAAATCAACTGCATCCTAAGAGAAAATAATAGGAAAGGAGAGATTCAGTGAATATTTAGTTCCTGGCTACAGCACCCAAAACAACATTCTGCTGTTTGCAGTGACATTGCAAAGAATCCTTTGCTTTGAAAACTAAATTTATTGGTTTGGATAACTGAGCACTTACCCATGAAAGAACTGCTTCCCTTACAGCTTAGGAAATGGAAACTAACCCAGCATGTGAATCAGATATGATACCAAGTAACTGTGAATTTCACAAATACCTTGTATATGGCGCATCTGCTGCAGATTCTTTAGCTTCCTTCAACAACTTCTGTAAGTTCCTTATCTTCGCCTTCTTCTCATTCAGCACTAGAACAAACCGGTTATAGAGATCTGCTTCTAGTTCTTCTTTAGCTTTCACACATTTTTCCAGCCTACAATGCAAAATTATCTGTCACTTACTTCACATGTCGCATCTTTTGTAAACTCTATTTGCTTTCTGGAAGAAAGTTCTGTAGTGAGGTCAGTCTTCCTATTAAGGGAATTCCGGTACCACATCATGCACAACTAGTCTAGAATCTTGTATTTGAAATAGACCCAGAAAAGCTTTTTTCAGAGAAATGTGCAATGAACTTAGCTATGAAAAAATATATTCAAGAGGAAAATGCGTTCTTCATGCTTTTTATTAAGAGTTCTTACACACATGCTTTTCGGGCAACTAGAAGTGAAATAGCAAGTGTTCTTCAGTTTCAATGCTGAATTCATCGTACTGCGTATAGGTTAGCAGGATACACATAATGAGATTACAACGGGAGGGAAAAGAGGAGAAAGGGAAAAAAAAGAAAAGAGAGAGAGAGAGACAAAAGCACGACAGAGGCCGACATGTCCAGTAAATACTTTGGGCAGCTCTGACAGTTCCAGAACTCTTTCTTGTGTCAGGACTCCAGAGGCAGCCCCAAGTGGTATATGGACTTTTGCCCCATCATTTTCCATCAACAACCTTGCATGCCCTGTTCTGGTGAGCAACCAAGATACAGAAACCAGTTCTTGGCAAAGCTCAACAGACCACTGAAGCAGAACTCAAAGGCAGCTGTAATCCTTTACTGGTACTCAAACAGACGTAATATTAACAAATCCAATGCTGTGGGTTTCATTTTGATTTACATAGATAAACAGCTGAGATCCTAGGACCCTTGAAGCCCACCACTAAATAGAAACATTTAGTTTTTTAGCTTGAACCAGTCAGAAATTACTTGGTAGAGGACTAAATTTTTTACAATACCAAAAAAAGAAAGAAAAAATTGTTACGGCTGTTGATTAATGTCTTCAGAATAAAAACTTCTTCAAGTTTTTGAAGTCTTAATGTGTATCTGTAGGTAGGTCAATTTCAAGAAAATTAAACACAATGAAAATACAAAAATAAGAATACGGCTATGCACTGTGTCATAAACAAAGCAAGCATGAACTATAATCAAACATGCTGACACTAAAAACCAAAACACTAAATGAAACAAGTGACTAACAAATGGGATCACAGAGTTACTTCTTGTATTTCACAAGTTTTTAGTGCTTGGCTTGCAATCTAAACATTTTAATAGCTGTGTTCACAACCAGGAAATAAACAAGGAATCAAGCATACATCTTGGTAATCTTATTGATCGTAGTAATTATATTATTATGGTAAATAGTAGTAAGTTACAAACAAGATTCTTTTCACCAACACTATAGAAGAATGATGAAAAAAGTTTAGAAGGCATGCCTTCGGTGTTAAAAGTATAAACAAATGTTAAAGTATTAATTTATAAAATAAGAATTTTTAACAGTTTTCCTATATAAATACTGCTTATTTTGTTCGGTGATCAAAAACATATATAAGAAAAAAGACAATAGAAAATAATTTTACGAAGTATTAAGCCTGCTGTACTATGCTTTAGGGATACGCTTGAGAGTTGATAAATAATTCATCTAATTTAAATGCAAATAGCAGAACATCATTACCATATAGATCGGTTCAATAATTCCTAAATGAAAGATCATATGTACTAATCACCTACCAGGAGACTTTCCACCTATAAATGGGAAAATTTAACTGTTTAGTGGGGAACAGACAGACAAAACACTAAAGCAACAAAGAACCATAAAAGCTCTAACGCAGAGCCCAAAAGCCCCTTGACCAACTCATGGAGGAAGAAAGGAAAGCACAGGAATTGCCTGCCACTTATTAAGCAGCATTCTGGCACACAAATAAGAGGGTTTTTTAATTAAATACTACTATTGCTTAAATTGTCATTTGCGTGGTTGAAATTAATTCTTGTGGTATACAGAAAAATAGGAAATAACATTTTTGTGTAAAACAGGCAAGTCTGACATTATCAAATTATTCAGAAAATGCCCTTCTCCAACACACAGACAACACTAATTGAAGAAAATGCTTACTACTACTCTTTTTGTTTTGCCTAACAAGCTGGTTAGTGTCAGAGTAGCTGTGGTTAGTTTAAATAGTTACATTAATAGGGACATTTCCTTAACTTGGCCAAGAAGATGTCATATAAGACAATATCAATGAGGCCCTTGAATCCTGCAAAAATATCCAGTGATAAAAATTCATATAACTTTGTAGGTGTCCACTGAAGTAAAGCTGATGTTACCTGGGCATTAAGAACTACAGAAGAGAAGCCATGACCAGGCCAACTTTGTGGTCCTCTAGAAACAAAATATTAGCATCTGGAAATATACACACAAAATATATGTATAGACTAAAAGGTTTTTTTTTTTTTTTTTAAATCAGCTGTTACATAGGAGGACACTAGAGGCAAAGTGAATTAGTACTGTGACATGAGTTAATTTTATATGGTTGTCTTCATTTACTTGAACACCTTTTCGGATTTTTCTGTTGTTTGAAGGAATTCATATATAAAGATAAATACATTCTTCAGATAGAGATGTGACATTAATTTAGCGTAACAGTCAATAGAAGCATTAGTGTGAAATAATACTAAATTCATGTTACACTTGCAAGTTATAAGTTATTATACAGCACATGAAGATACATAACAATAGAATGGTAAAAAGCAACAGTCCTCTGCTGCTTGGGAGCACAGATGCATTAATTATGCATCCTGCAGTAGCAGGAGTGTGAGGCAGCTCTGGCTGTAAGGCTGCATAGTCTTTAGAAGTCACTCAGGCATGTGTTACCTGAATTACGTGACCACAAAGCAAAGCTGGCTGGGTTTCATTCCAATACCTCATCAGCTACAAATACAACCTTTCATTGCAATTTGTCACATGCTTGTGCCTGTATTTGATTTGTCTCACTGAAATATCAGCTCCCCAGGCCAAGTAAAGAAGCTGCTCATCTCAAAGACAATCTTCAAATATAACGCAACTAAATTAACTTTCAAATAAAGAAAGTTAATGGCTACAGTGTTGCAAGTCTGATTTGCATATGCTTTCTGTATTTTATATTCTTAGATGACTTATTCATGCTTTTAATGTGCCAGATAGGCTCAAGTTGATATGAAACAAAATGCTTGCACAGCCTACTGAAAATTGCTAGTATTCAGAATGGTTAGGATTTGTAATTAAGAAAATAAGGTAACTGTCCAGTTCTAAGCTCTGCTCAAACATGTAGAAATTCCACATGCTTCAGAGCTAACATGACCTACGTAACTTATTGGCTTTTACACACTTTTCCCTCTCATATAGTAAAGAAAAAAAAAAATCTGCTTCCTATGCTTGTCCTCAGTGCTACAAAGTACATATTACTTTTATGTCACCTCTCCATTCCATTTTAGGTTCTCCTTTCCCCCACCCACCATCGGTAATGGTTTTGAATCTTAACAAGCTAATGTTGAAGAGTCAGTTTCAAGAACCAAAAATACCTGGTTTGCCTAAGTTGCTTGCGGTTCAGATATACTGTCACTATAGCTGTCAACTTGTGTTGTGGTCAACTGTTTAGATTATAGTTTGCCTATACTGATTTTGGGCATTTGATACAAATCACATACAAATCAGAAATTTAACTTTATTTTAATGGCCAAGGAATTACTTTGATGGAGAGTATTAATTTATATTTACCATCTTTTATATATAAAATAAAAACCTTAGGTATCCGGCTTTGAAATTTCAACTCACCCACCCCTGAGGCATGCAGGCACACACACCAGCACACATTTGCAGCATTTTCAGAATGATCCTTTTGAAAATTGCTATTTCTACTTACCACACAAGGCACCTGAATATATTAGCATTAAAAAAAGCTTTTCCATATAGCAGAAAGTAGCTGGACATCAAGAACCCAGTTCACTTCAGCTCCTAATTAATGACAACAGGGATGTAACTTCAGTGAAATCCATCTCTATTTGAATCTCACTAGTTAGTGTTTTAGGGATTTATTTTAGATCTGGTGCTGTAGAGTCTAATCAGCTAGAAAGTCTCAAACTGATATCATCTATGTATGAATCACCTCCTAAAAACAGAGAGATGTTTGGCCAGGTAAAAGCCTACATTTAGGCCCCCATGAAGAGTGAAACAATTAAAATTAAAGGAGTTACTGCTCTTGCCAGAAACACTCTCAATACATCAGAAAGCACACAGCTTAGACTGGACACCTAATTTAGCCGTCTGAGGATTCAGGGACTTTGCCTTCAAAGGGATTTTTGGCCTTCTCCTGTTTTTCACCTTTACATGGACATGAAACACAGAGGTAGGTGGCAGAAGAGACACCTGCACATGGCACAGTGTTGTAACCAGCAAGCCGCTTACTGCTCAGTGGAAGCTCTGCGGATGATCGTGTACAAATTGAGGCAATTGTTAACAATAAATATGGGCTGATATTTAGGCTAAACTTAGGTGATATTCACTAGGCAGATTTAACCATCTGAATGAAGAGATTGAGACTCTCCTGTCAGTCATTTTAAAGAGCAAGCAGAAAGATGCTACCTTCCTAAGAGAACCACGAGGGAGCTTCTTCAAAGTTGCTAAGCTAAGCCCACAGCCTTCAGGATTATCAAGAAAATTAAAGCAGGGAAATAGAATACTACAATTGCCTTTTTTTCCCATCTAGTACCTCCTGCTTTCTGTTCTACCTCAATTAAACAAAAAAAGCTCTTAGAAGTCTGAACATTATGTTTTAATTCTCATGAGGTCCTGAAGAGAGAGATTTTAAGGAAGAGGAACTGCAAGGGTTGCAACTCGGGGGCTGATTATGCTTAAGCTCCAAGAGAAAGGAGGAGTACTTTATTCCCCACACCTACAGGCTCGCTCTCTGGTGTTTCACCTCTCAATGCTGGGTGCAACACAGAAGCTGCAGCCTAAAACCATGGTTAGTGACCAAAGACAGAACTGAACAAAACCTCTCCCTAAGAAACTCACACCACCTAGGCCCAGCATATGAGTCAAATGAGCAAAGAGATAAAGCAAGGTAGATTGGGCTATGACAAAAAGAAAGAAAAAGTCCACTGTTTAGGCGAAAATTAATTTTATTCTCCATTTAGGGGACATGGAGAAAGCTTGGTGACCATACAACATTCAGTATTTATTTTGAGAAGTCATATTTCAACAACTCAAAATATGAACGCACTGCAGAACACCACCACCTTCAGGAGCCTTAGAACAGATTGCTTCAGAGAGCATAGGTTGTCAGGCAACTGTGAATTTTTCTTTGGGATTACCCTTTAGAAGCGCCACAACACCATGGAAATTGATACAAGCCCTAATGCCTACGTTACACATTAGCGTGTAATGCAGTACAGCAGACTGGTTACACAATACACCATTGTTCATTACACTGTTAGGCAGTAAAACACTATTTAGGACAGCCATATGCTTGTCAGGGAGATTGTCAGGAAAAAACTGCTATTTATTTTAATGAGGGAGCAACAAAACTAACTCCTCCCAAAAGTTAGCTCTTTTTTTCCATGGTAAATTAACACCAATTAGCTACTTCCTTTCATCCATCATTGTAAAAGATATAACAAAGCTTTAGAATGAGAAGAAGATAAATCTCCAACTTGCATATGCTATGCATTTTATACTAACCAACTGAAATAAGCATAGATAACTTTATTACAGAGTGCAGCAGCAATTTAAATCACTAAGGCAATGGGAATTAAAAAATTAGTCTCTCAGAAAATAATGGAACTTTTTACTATAACAACATACTTGTTCCTAAATTCTGGTCGCTTTGACAAGACAGATTTAAGTCCTGGTAACTTATTTCCCACACAAACATGAAAATAATTTGAAGTGTTAGCTATGAGAATTACAGAGATTAAGAGTCAGAAAAGAGTCCTCTTGCTGAAGAAAGAGGATTCCAAAGAAAAGGTCAATTTTTTTCACTGCATAAAGCTAAAACCGTCTTTATTTGAAAAGTCTAGTTACCAGTTACCTCCTTGAAAGACAGACAACCACAACTATACAGGCTATAAGTAACTCGGCTCAAAACACAAGAGGAGAAAAATGTGTGCGCTTCATTGAGCACATAACTTGAACAGTGCCCATCAGTAAAGCCTTCACTGGCTGCACATGTATTAGTGAGTTTCTAAAGAATATCCTACGAATACACTTTCAAACTCACCGTTTCTCCACATCATTCCAATCACTGAAGAGCCTTTCATTTTCTTTTTGCAGGTGCTCGTTTTCGGCCTGCAGTCTTCCTAAGCGGTCCAGGCAATGACCAATCAGCTCTTTAACCACTTCAACTGGCCTCGAAACTTTTTGCAGCCTTAGAGATCCAAGTCTAAACTAGAACAAGAAGAAAAAATGATTTACCTCACCAGTACTAGAAAGGTCATAAAATCTCACCTCTAAAAGACACAGACATAAGCTTAATAAGGATAGACATAAGGAATATTTACAGCCCTTCAGTTCAAATTGTTATCATAGTGAATTTGTCATAAAAATAAGCATGTGGAATAAACTACATGGCAATTTTCTATGCACTTACTGTATGTTAATGGATACCTGCCATACAATAAGCACAGGATGTAAGCACTGATGTGCACTCTAATGGGCAGGAAAAGAGATACAATACAGAAAGTGTAACATACTACAACAACCTGTTCTGCTACAGAACAGGATGCAGTCAGCAGTACAAAGATGCAACCAAATGTTTTGCAAAAGAGGCATTCCTGATGTAACGCAGAACGACAGGAACTGAGAATCTTACAGTATAACATCATTCATGCCACCTAGCTTACTGCCTATTCTGCTAACCACAGCAGCAACTCAATCACATAAATACTACTGATAAATAAATATTAACTATCTTTGATTGAAAGTAGCATCATAAATGCCTATGATCTTTACATAAACCTGAGAGAAGAAATCTAGCCTACTGGTTTTCCTCTTAAGGGCTTAGTCACAAGTTCTTAAAACCTAAATGCAATGAAACAGGTAACGCCAATATTTTCAAGGGGATTTAAGGATTGGATCTTGAATCAATAGCTGTATTTCTTGAACAATGAAGATGATATACAGACTGTACAAGTAGTCTGAACAGATTTGTTCTGCCTGTTCTGGCAGGCAGAAGACTGTTCTTTCTACAATGCTGGGGGAGCAATAGCTCAACCATACACACAAATCAGTATCAGCAAAGCTATAAACATTCAGAGCACAATGAAGATAGATGTTCATGATGACTGTTTGAGGCAATTGACGAAGGAGGATATTAGGCTTGCTTGAACAGGGTCACAAACGTTATCTGAAGAGAAGCAAATCAGAGATGAAGGATCCGACTTTGGTGCTCTCGAGAGGGTAGACAAAGAGGGAATATAAACTGTCTTAAGGTGCACTTCCACAGCTGTTTAAGCTTACAGTAGCCATACAACATATTTCTGACACCTCTCTCCAAGACTAGCAGCACATGCTCACTTCTCTCCATTAAGGCAGCATTATCATTTATTTACCTGACTTGGCAGTACGTTGGTTCAGGGAGCTGATCCAGAGACAAGCAGTTTAGACTAGACCACATGATTTGGATTTTGGTCAGCTTGAACTACTATGGAACCAGATTTGTCAGGAACGGGGACATCAAATGATTTGACTTTGACTGGAAATGCCTGCTAGAACATGGAGTCAGTGAGGGACACCTGGAGGGAGCCCAGGTCCTCTCACATCTGGGAGACTTTGAAAGGATTCATGGAGCTGTTGTGGTATTTCTCTACAAAATTAATCATATTCCTCTTTTTAACTTGAAGATGGCATGGCAATAACATCTTTAAAAAACACAAGTGGCACACACTAGGGAAGAGTGATCTGTGTTGTTGCACTTCACCTACTAAAATAAAAAATCCAATTTCATTCACTATTCTCTTCATGGTAGTCCACTTTACTCAGGAACGTACAGTAACTAATCAAATAAAAGTCATCCACAAGAAAAGTAGCATTTGTTAGCACTTCTTAAAAAAAGTGAGGTTAACTACTGCTATACATAAGCTTTTGCTGAAAAAGGCCATGTAAAAACTGCTCACAATGATCTTAAAGATACTATTTGAAACAAATAAAAGTTCTTAAACACAGATTAGATAAATTATCTGTGGGAGTCTCCACAGCCACACATGCAAATCATCATGAGCTTCTTCAGTAAGGTGAGTTTATCCGAATATAAAGCAAAACTAAAAGTTTAATTTCAAATTAGCCGCCAATTTTTTCTAAATTCATGTATACAGTCTCTAACAGACTGGTTTCTTCTAGCTTATGTCAATTTGGTGATTATAGTTAACTGTAAGAGATGAAAAGATGCATTTGATTTATTTTTGGAAATAAGATTACATTATCAGTAACCCACAGAGTGACGTGTATTCCCTGGATATCACACTTGCTGTTTGACAGCATTAACAAAGATGGACGTTTGCGTAAAGGAAACTGTTTTTCATCACTTGCAAGCTACCACCAAGCTATATGGATAAAGAGTTCATGCCGCACTTAAATACTAGCCACAGAGATAGAGAAGCACAGTACTATAGATAAACAGAAATGCAATCTTCTACATTCTTATATTGCAGAGGCAACAGGAAGAGCAGCTAAATGTTTTTGTCTTGTATTTTTAATACAATCATTTGAGATAACGTAAAGGCAAATATGTTTAATCAGGACAAAGTCACATTGTCCAGCTTACAGTTTAGGCAGCTCAAAACAATAAAATACCAATATGTCTTCTAAAACAAGTTGAAGAGGATGACAATACATTTCAGCTGAAAGCTTGGTTCTACTCACAATCAAAACTGCGCCAAATACACAGCTAAACATTTAAAGCATATGATTATAAACAAACAGCAATTCAGTCTCTTATTTAAAGAATTTGTATAAATCAATTCTGCTAGTGTAAAGTGGAGCTTTGAAATCGCAAATATATCCTCTGGGAACTGTCTCATGGAAAGACTTCTGCAGACCCGTGTGGAAAACGAACATCCTTTATACAAAGAAAGAAATGAAACCAGGCTTTTGGGCACACTATCTTTTTTTGATGAATTCTCAAAACAGACAGCGGGGAGAGGTCACACTGCAGAGAGCAGGGGCAAGAAATGCATTCCAGCCTGATTAGCTACCGCTGATGTGCCAGCCAGAGAGGAGGTGCTGGACAGATTTCCCTGCACCACTAGAGAGACACATTGAGTTAGCTGGCTGTCTTTCTACGTGTTCATTTCAAAGTCCAAACTTACTGTGAAAATACTGGAACTGAAAACAACTTCTTATACCCCTTGTATACCAACCAACAGAGTAATAGGCAGAATTTAGTCTTTATAAAGCAATGACTACTATATACTTTCTTATATTAAGCTGTTAACTGTAATGATTTCCATGTCTCATATATTACGATCTGTGGACTGCTTCTAGCAGGTCCACTAAAGGTAAGTAAAGCAAGCCTTTCATTAGGCAGGTGCTTGCATGTCAGCTGAAAGAAATTCTTGATGCTTCTGCAAAATACCTATTCTCCCGTATCTTTTTTTCCATCATCTAATGTTAACACAATACAGTTGTACCATTCCTCTGGTTACATTGCCGCTACCTCCAGCAGGTCAGTGCAGAAAAACACCCAAGGTTTAGACAAGGCCCTAATTAACCCAAAAGTAACACGATATTGGATATGTGGTTTTTTTTTTTTTTTGCTTTGCCCTCTTCATACAGAATCTTATACAAACATACTGAAAGGAGTTTTTACTCTATTTCTTCAATGTGAAACTATGTTACAATGAGCTATTATACTGCCAATTTAACAAAAAGAAACCTTAGTGCTAACAATAGTAACATTGTTATCTGAGCAAATTACAACTGGTTGCCATTGGCTCCTGTAAAGAGCCTGGTGCTGAGAGACTGATAAGTCAGAAAAGCAGCCAAATTCATTTCATTTCTAAAGTATCAAGGCAAAGTAGTAACCATTCATAAAACCATAAAAGAAAATGAAGTCTTGCAGCTCTTCTACTCTGAAGTCCTATTGAGATCCTAAACTGGAAAGCAAACTGGTAAAAGAGGAGACAGAAAATAAAATTTCCAAGCTATGGATTTTTAGTTCAGGACAGACTCTTAATCTGTAGCACTGATTAAGACAGAATTCTATTAAAATAGAATGTTTGAAAAGAAATCACAAAAAGAAAAGGAGGCATTAGTTTTTCTGTATATTGCTCTTCTCGCATGCAGCTTAAATGAGAAATAGACATTTGTCCTTCATTGCCAAAGCAGTTGTAATGAATTTGGAAAGAATTCTAGCAAGACCTAATTGAAGTGATTAAAGGTCAGGATAGCATTAAAAACAAACAAACAAACACCACACACACAAACAAAAAGAATCCACACACACACCACAGTTAACTAAGTAAGAAATCAAGATGAATAGATCTTCCTTATTGCATGAGTGAAAGCTCACCTTCAACACTTCACTAATTTTGCATATAGTATATCTGTGATTTGGATCATTTTTTCCCTTAAGTGTATTAACTATCATTTTTTCAAGCTGAATTTCATTTTGTTAATTCCTGCACATTACTGAAGTCTCTGTAGATCAATTTATTCCTCTTGCTATTCACCAGCTGTTGCAGCTCTCTAGCTTTGTATCATCTGCAGATGTAATTAATGTACTTTCTCCTTCCTCTTTTAGATCATTCATGAAAACACTACGTAAAACAGTGCAGCACTAAACACTTCATTCATACAGAGAATGACCAGATCTGCTAGAGGTCCCAGTAGACGAGAGATCGACTGTAACTGATAAACTGCTCCTCTTGAAAATTAAAGTGCTGATTTTTTTTTTCTTTTTTGAAGAGGTATGAAGATGAATAAAGAACCATTAAAAAAAAAGTTATGTCATCTTCATCAGAAATCACACTCAACACTTATCCATTACACCAATGTTTTAAGTTAGAAATAAAAATGAAAATTATAAGCTTATGATGAAACTTGTCTTCCCATCACCTGTCCTCCCACACAAATACTGACTGCCTTATAATTTAGAGGAAGAAGCAATTTTAACTATAAGACAGAAAATAGTTCTGAAGCCAAATAGAAAACTTCTCTGAAATATTTTTATTTCTAATATGTTTATAGGAAGATATTTCACTCAGATTTATATTCATATAAATCTAAATATATCATATAAATATGAATATATCTAATTAAAATGGAAGCCAATAGATCTCTCATAGAAAGTTTTAAAACAAGAAAATTATTTGATTGTATAGAGGGGGTGAAATTAATTTTCATATATACATATTCATATATTTTGGTGTGGAAAATAGGCTATATAGCCT